TTGCATCAACTATCCCTCTCTCCAGATTTTCTGCCGCTCTATGATTGATGAGATTGATAGAAGGTTCTTTTTTTCTGTATATAGGAATTGTCTTCTCCAGGGGTAATCATAAGCATTCATAAGTTGTAAAAATATATCTCACTCGATAGTAACCAGTGTTACTATCGAGTGAATAGCTGATTGTTGAATAGCTGATTGTTGCTTCTCTTATTGTCGGCTGCCGATGACTTGCAAGCAAAAAACTGCTTGTTTCTGCCCGTTGGCTGATTAGGGAGTTTCCTGGATCAAATGAGGATGACCGCTGTCTCCCCCCCCCCGTAATCAACAGGCTCTCCCCCCCCACTTCACCACCTCTCTGGGGTGGCTTCAACACCCTGGGTGTTGAAAAATTCAGGTCAGAATTCAGCCCAGGGAACAGAGCTCTGTCCTCCTGCTGCTGTCTCATCACGGTGTCAAGCCTTTCTCCTGTTGGCATCCTTCTTGAAGTGCATACTCTAGATGAGACCTAACCAATGCCAAATAGAGGGGAACTAATACCTCAAGGGATTTGGAAACTATACTTCTTTTAATGTAGTCTAAAATACTGTTTGCCTTTTTTGTAGCCACATCACATTGTTGGTTCATATTTGTGATTTACGACAATTCCAAGATCCTTCTCTCTCATAGTATTGATCAGCCATCTTGTAACTGTGTGTTTGATTTCTTTTTCTTATGTGCAGTACTTTACACTTATATATTTTGAAATTCCTTCTGTTGTTTTCAGCCGCATGCTCAAACCTATCCAGATCATTTTGAATTTTATTTCTGTCTTTCAGGGTATTAGCTATTCTACCCAATTTTGTGTCATCTGCAGATTTGACAAACATCTCTTGTACCTCCAGATCCAGTTCAGTAATAAAAATTTTGAAGAGCACAGGGCCCAGGGCTGAACTTTGGGGTTCACCACTTGTTATTTCCTCCCAGTTTGAAAGGGAGCTGTCATGATCATGAGTTATGTGGTTTAAAGCATGTAATTTGAATGGTTTATGTAGTCATGAGAAATGTAAAATGGAGTCAAAATGGTTCTGTGCCATAACGATTCGAAGCACCTGGGAATGTTTTCTGAAGAATCTGTGAGAATGTATTCTACAGACTGGTACAGTGAAGGACAAGATAAAGAGACTCAACATTTCACCCTAATTGGAAGAAGGAAAACAACACCTGCACTCGCATGGGAAAGGGGGTTGGAGAAGACTTTACAGCTCCAAAAATTTAATTGGTTAATATCTGAATGGACAATGAAGAGGGAGGAGATTGGAAAGATAGAAAAATGGACATTGTGCTATGTGAAGAGTCCCTTTTTTGTTCCTGAAGGCTTTTAGTTCCTTTTTCCTTATGCTAGGATGAGGGATCAAGAATATAGGGAATAGAAGAAAGAAGAGGGGGGCTTAGCCCATTGCTTACCCTGAAGAAAGCTTTTTAGAGATTTTAGATGTTTTTACTTAACTGGGAATTAGTTGTTTTTATTTAATTGCAATAATCTTTGAAATGTACTCAAATGCTATGCTTATGCATCAAACTGTTTTTCTATGAAAACTTTATTTTTCCAATAAAAATTAAATCTTAAAAATCTTGAAGATTGGTCTCTTGAACAGCAAATCTGTAAGCCTAGTTCCAGAGGGTGGCAAAGCCACAAGATTGTTACTAGACAGAGTCGAACTACACTGAGCTTTAGTGAGTTCTCAGGAATCACAAAGCCTATGTGCCTGTACTTTTTAATATGCTAAGTAACAGGCTAAGTGATGCTAAACTCCCCCTCCTGCTGACTCTGGAGTAAAGAGGGACTGGGCTGGATCACCCTCCTCCCCCCCCCACGCTGATTGCACAGATAAACCACCACAGTCCATTCTAATGGATCCAATTCTTGCCCGCGCATGAGAAAATCTGGTGGCTCAGGGAGTAGTCCTCCACTTACTTGCAGGTTAGGAAACTCTTTGAGCAATTTTCGGAAACCCTCCTGGCCCATGCTCCATTCTGTTTGTACTGCTCTATCTTTTCTGTCAACTGGCTCGCTCCTTACCACACTGAAACTTCCCGCCTTTTCACCCTCATTTACTGTATATCTTCCCACACAATCAGATCAAGCTCCTCCCACTTCTCATTGGCTAGACACACTTCTCTATATTCCTGAACTTCTTGGTTATCTTGCTCCACCTCTACCAATATCCCCTCTATATATTCTCCTCCTATTTCTGCTCCTTTGACCACGGAGGATGGCTCACTCCCTCTCTCTCCATCACATATTCTTGCTAATCGGAATATAATGGGCACTTTGTCAAAAGCTTTGCTAAAGTCAAGATATACAATGTCTACAGAATTCCCTCTGTCTTTCAGGGAGGTTACCTGAGCAAAAAATGAGATCAGATTAGTCTGGCCATATTTGGTCTTCACAAATCTGTGTTTGCTTCTAGTTATTACTGCGCTGTTTTCTAGGTGCATGCATAGTGACCATTTTATGATTTGTTCCAAAATTTTCCCTGGGATTGATGTCAGTCTGACTGGACCATAGTTCCCTCCTTTTTGCTCTTTTTGAAGATAGGGACATTAGCTTTCCTCCAGTCATCTGGCACCTCACCCATTTCCCATTATTTCAAGAAAATAATTGACAGTGGTTCTGAGAGTTCTTCATCCAGTTCCTTCAATATTCTTGGATGCAGTTCATCTGGCCCTGGAAATTTGAACTTGTACAAGGTAATAATGTATTCCTTCATTATTTGTTTATCAATTTCCAGCTGCAATTCTGCACCCTCCACTTGCACTTTATATTTGGCTGAGGGTGAAAGCCTGTCCTCGCTGAGCTAAAATAGGAATTGAACACTTCTGCATTTTCTTTGTTATCTTTTATCATTTTTCCATCTCCATTGACTAGCTAAGCTGCTGTATCTTTTCTTTGTCTTTTGCTATGCACATACCTGAAGAATGCTTTTTGGTTGCTTTTAGTGTCTCTCGCTAACCTCAGCTCATTCTCAGCTTTTGTTCTGCTAATACCATCTCTGCAATTTCTTACTACTAGTCTGTAGATTTCCGTTACAGCCTGACCTTCTTTCCACTTCCCATGCTTCATGTTTGTTTCTTTGTTTGTTTTCAGGTCCTCTCTGAGCTTTTTGTAAAACCACACTGGCTTTTTTTTTGCTGTCTCCCACCTTTTTTCTTGTTGGAATTATTTGCAGCTGTGTCTTTAGAACTTCCTTTTTTAGAAACTCCCATCTTTCTTGGACTCCTTTTTTTGTTAGAATATCCTGTAATGGGACCTTATTTATCTTTGTGCCTAGTCCATTAAAATTGGATTTCAATATATATACGCATATATATACATATACATAAGAGTTTCCCTTACTGCCATTTCATCTTCATTGATTAGAATCAAGTTAAGGAAAGTTTCTCTAGTTTCTTCCAAGTTAAGGATAGTCCTCTAGTTTCTTTCTCCACTTTTTATACCCTTCAGAGTATTATCCAAGTTCAAATGCATGGTCTAAAGTGGGTTTCCAAGAGCCAGACTTCATTGCCTGAATGGTCTTGAGGACAAATATTGGGAGACCTAACAAACTTAGGGAGACCTAACCTACTGTGTTAAGTTCTGAGAAAGGACACCATTGGAGCCTAGCTTTTGGGCCCGACTGTTCAAATACATTGTGCATGCCTAATATGCACAGTACCTTGCAATGCCATAATAAGTTTGCTAACTGTTAATTAATTCATTTGAAAACACATTTAAATTGTTTTGAAAGCACAGATGTGGACTGAATTATAATGCAGGAAGCAATTTGTAAGCCTTGCTGCATTCATATTGTCACTGATTGAGGTTATTTTGGCATACATATTGTATGACCAAAAACTGAAAATCATTCTCTAGTTACTTCTGTATTCACATTCAACCTTCTCCTGAAGCTCTTGAATATGCTAAATTTGTTAGAAGTTTTTTTTAACCTTGACACAAGATGATAAATTACTTACAAGGACATGAAGAAGATTTCTTTTTTCCCAGTTCTTGTTTTTCTTTGGAGCAAGGAACTTGATATGGCAGTACAGTATTAGAGTAATATATTTATTTACAAATATGTACATTTTATATCTATTATATATATTTATTAATTATATTTTATATAGTACCATCTTGTGACCTTGCCATTATTCTTGACAGTTTCCAGAAGTAAAATAAATATACAAAGAACAGCCAAATCCCACCCAAGCCAAAAGTATAAAATTATATATAACAAAACAAAACAAAAATCTAAAAATCAAGCTGGTGGCAATGAAAAAGATAAAGGTTACAGGATATAATAGACTAAATTACCAAAAATTATAAGGGGAACAGCTTCTGAAATCCCTCCCTGAAAAGCAGTTTTATGTGCTTCCTGAATATTAGGAGGGAAGGGGCCTAGTGCACTTTCAAAGGCAGAACATTTCCTAAAGAGGGAAGACTTGGCACCTAGTCATAGACTTTCTGGCCTACCTCAGGGTGGCCACCCACTCATGAACACCTTGGAGATGCAAGTGGCATGGGAAGATTACCTTAGGGAGAGGTGCTCCAATATGTAGCAAGATTCCAAACCATTTAGGACTTTATAGGTTCATATTAGTACCTTGAAGCAAATTGGCAGCCAATGCAAGTGATCCAGGACTAGGAAAATATAATTGTATTTTGAAGTTCCTGAAAAATCCTGGCCGCTTCATTTTGCACCTGTTGCAGCTTCCGTACCACTTTCAAAGGCAGCCCCACATAGAGAACATTGCAACAGTCTATACTTGATTCTACAAATGTCTGAAATAGTATTATTAGGGACTTCCTGTCTAGGTAGGGCTTCACGTATGCAATCTGCCTCAAATGGGAAAAGGCAGACATGGCCAAGATTTGTTTCTCCATTGAGAGGGCCAGGGCCAGAATTGTGACCCTGCTCTTTTAGGGAGAATAGACCCCATCTAAAGCAGGCTGGAAGCCCCCAGATGATCAGAATACACACCTTAAAACAACATATCCATCTTGTCATGATTGAAACTCAGTCTGTTCACCCTCATCCAATCCATAATCAAGGCCAGGCCTGCACAGCTGCTCCTGCTGAAAAAGAAAATGACAGAGTAAACTGTGAGGTTGGTAGGGCTGTGCTGGCCAGCCTTGGGTCTGCTGTGATCCATCCTGCATTAGAGGCGATGGCTTCATTTCATCAGAAAAGCGATTGGAATCTTTTTGTGCAATTTACAAGGGAGCCTTAAGGCTGAAATCTTTGGCCTTGTGGAGAGCATGGGGCATACTAAGTAACCACTATTCAGTGGCAGGTAGTGCAAAAGGGAAGAGGTTCAGGTGAGTTCCATGGGGGCATTTGGGGGGCATGCAAAATCATCCCACTTCTTGGAATTGCAGAACCAGAGGTTTCATTGATGCGAGGGAGAGGCAAAAAGATCTCATGGACCATGGAGCACCTAAGGTCGGGAGGCTTCGTTAGACTGCGGCCTCTGGGGTACTCTGACACTTGGCTGGCTGAGACCATGCTGTACAGAGGATAATGCAGCTTCAGAGTTGGAAACTTGCTTGGGGAAAGGCTGGGCCAAAGGTCAGGGTCAACCCCAGTTCCAGACCGGGCTTTGCATTACAATACCCCCCCTTATGAAATGAGAAGTTCAATGTATAAAGGATTAATAAAGTTGCAGCCCTAGTTTAACCCACTTCCTGTGTCTTGCCTCATTATTCCAGACCAGGCAGGCAATGCTACTATGTTGATCTTCATCTGCCAACTTAAGAAGCCCCAGAAAGGTAGTAATCTTAAGGGCCAGAATGAATGAATATTCAACATCCTGGGCTCTCAGGAGGCCATTGTCAATGTTGACCCTGGCTACCTAAGGCTGACAACCAGCTCAGAAGTCTACCCACCAGTGGCAAATTCATGCATCAGCCAATTAAGCTACAGTTTAGGGTTCCAGATTATATGTGCTATGTGCCATCAAATAATCTCCAATTTGTGAGAACCTTAGTAATATTTTTGAGGTACAGTATGTGAGATGTTCAAGGAGTACTTTACCATTTATATCCTCCTGAGTATCCAAATTTGTACCCCAGGTCTAAGTCTTTGTCAGGCATTATATTCATTACACCACAAAAGAACTCTCTAAATGTGGGTAAGATAAATAGATCTTTTGGCCATTATCCTACTGAGCAAAACATCCTATTAACACAATAATAGAGGATTTCACCACTTGTGCCAGTGCTTCTGTTAGCAACAAGGCAATATCTAAGGGAAAAAATCCAACCACACTGGTGGACTTTCTGCTTAACGGAAGTTCAATAGGATGCTGGCCATGAAAATAATACACTTTTTCAAAACTGCATTGGAGTCTCTTAAACTTGACATATTTTAATTCTGTTCACATGACATAGTTTAGGATACTCAGCATGCCTTAACCTCTGCTCATTGTTCCCATTTTCCACAATGTTCTGGACTGACACTTTTTTTGGTAGGATGGGCAATTAAAATTTGAGATAACACATATTGCATATCTGGTCCTTTTTGGTCATGGCCATCAATATCTGAGATCTCAAAAATTACCAGCAAAATTGAAGGGAGAGTGAAGATTAAATCTGGAATTGGAAGTGGTCATAGTTGAATTTTTCTAAGTTGTCAGTCACACTAAACCAGATGTTACATTGAACTGTGGGTTGGAACTACACATTCCCATATTCTCTTTACCCTTTCCATAGTCTTTCTTGATTTCTCAGAATACTATAATTTGTTTCCTTTCATAAATAGATAAAAACATTGTTTGCTGTTACATCCAAACCAGGCAGATCGTGTTGTAATATCAATCTGTAACATGCCTTTCTCTTTAAGGGTTAACACTTGTCCTAAAAGCCAAGTTTCCTAAGAAACTGCTTTTACAAGAGACAGAGAGGGTCCCAAATGATCAGCTCCTTTACCCGGCAATACCGGGTCCATTAATTTTACCCTAGGGCAGCTGAACACTCTTTCTCCCAAGTCTGACCCGATTTAAGAAAGAACAAAAGCACTTACAGGAGTTCTAGGGAATCTAATCTTCCTAGCACTCTTTAATATATAGGACCCAAATGGTAGCATTAAGTAAGTATTTTTCCCAACAAATTTGGTAGCAGAGGTTGGTTGCATTGGTTGCATTTTTGATAAGTTTTTGAGACACTGAAACCTGTTGCTGTGTTTTTGAACTTTTTGAATGTTTTTTTTTTGAAGCTTAGATAATTGAGCAGAGTGCTTTTGGCAAACATTCTTTTTCATTTTTCAAGTTGAAGAATGTGTTGTTTTTTTGCCTCTGACTGATAGGAGTAAGTTTTGATAAGAGACTGCAAAATATTTTTAAAGTAACAGCAGTTTTTGCATGCAGTCAAGTAATTTTTCAGTGGATTGAGAGTAGAGGAGAAGAGAATTGAACTTTTGACTTTTTTTGGAGACAACATTTATTAGTATCAAGATGTCTACTACTACTCCAGAAGCTAACACATCCACTCAACTTTTTCAGCTGGGTGTAAGTAGCAGCAGTGGTATATTTGCAATCCCAAAGCTGAACCAGAACAACTTTCAAATGTGGGATGCAAGATTAAGAGTTTCCCTTCAAGTACAGAACTGTTTAGATGTCATAGACCAAGATATACTTGAAAGCCAGCCAGCAGAGAATGAATATAAAATTAAAGAAGCAAAGGCTTTAATG